GGTGGCTGCAGGGCAGGGCCGCGACTGGGTGGCGGCAGGGCAGGGCCGCGACGGGGCGGCGGTAGAGCAGGGCCGCGACAAGCGGCTGAGGGCAGGGCCGCGACGGGCGGCAAGGTCAGGGCCGCAACTGAAGCGGCAGGGCAGGGCCGCGACGGGCGGCTAGATCAGGCCGCGACGGGCGGCTAGGTCAGGCCGCGACGGGCGGCGACAGGGCCGGGCCGCGACGGGCGGCAAGGTCAGGGCCGCGACTGGCGGTTAGGGCAGGGCCGCGACGGGCCGGGAGGGCAGGGCCGCGACGGGCGGCTGTAGGGCAGGGTGCGCGACGGCGCAGGTGAGGCAGGCGCGAGGCGTGCTTCGGGCAGGGCAGAAAAAAAAAATATCGTGGTGGGCCCTAAAAAAAACGTTCCCACTAGGGAACCTGCTCTGAAACCATGTCAGAAATGAGAAGGAAAGAATAACTAGAAAGAGAGCAGTACAAGGTTTGTATAGGCAAAACCTAATTTGGCCTGTACCCCTTAAGAAGTGCCCCACTACAGCCTAGAGCATATATGCATAGTTCTGACAGTGGAGAGGCCGGAAGCGTGAACGACTGGACGATGCCCTCAGCACCACAGAAGTCCTCGAGGAGGCGGGAGGAAAACTCACCACCTCGGTCAGAGTGCAGCCGCAGGACTGGTAGGTCCTCACGGAACCGAGCGCGAAGCTGGAGATGGGCAGCGCGGATCCAGCGGATCAAGACACCGCGGACATCCGCCTTGCTCTGCAAGGGGAAGACCGTGGTGTAGCGCGTGTAGTCGTCTACAACCAGCAGAAAGTAGCGCTCGCCACCCTGTCCAGTGACGCGGGCGGGGCCCCACACGTCCATGTGGAGGGTCTGCAGAGGAGCAGTGGTAGGAGGAAACGAGGAGGAGTGAGGAGCGGCGCGCTGCCGCCCCTCGACGCAAGGGAGACAGGGCAGTGCAAGCGACGACCTCGGGAGCGGGGGCATGGACCTGGGGAGACCAGACACAAGGAGACGGGAGTGCATGCCACGTAGGCGTGGCAAGGAGGGGTGGCCAAGACGCTGGTGCCAGAGGAGAGTGTGGTGCGTGAGGAGACGACACGAACAAGACGCAGCGATCTCAACCGACGCAGCTACTTGACCTGACTCAGCCACCTGTGCAGATTGAGTAGTCAGTGTCTACAGACCAGACCCAGGCCTCCGAGTGAACGTGGCAAGGTGCTCACCAGTGCGGGAGTCCGTAAAGATCGCCACAAGCTCTCCTCCAGGCTGGGTGACAGTGACCCACTGGTCCTGGAGGACAGAGGTAGCCACCACGTTCTTAGCGAACGAGGGGAGGTGGAGACCTGTGAGGAGGCCGGAAGGGGCCGCCGGACAAGGAAGAACAGTAGTGCCACTCGCGACTACCGGCCCCCCGGAGGGGTCAGCCAGTATAACAGGGATAGGGGCTGTGAGCGGTGTGACTGTGGTGCTGTCGCGGAAGAAGTAACGAGACGCGCCTGCGTGAAGAGTAAAAGTGTGCAAGGCCTCCTCAGGCTCTGCACCTGTGCTAGCTGAGTCAAAAGCACCAAGACTAGCAGCCTCTACCCAAGCAACGCTAGGCACACACGAGAAACAATCATCCTCAACACTAGCAGAAGCAACATACATCGCATACATGCCAGCATGGATCACAGCCCAGTCACAAGCAAAAACATCTATGTCCTTCTTCAGCAAGGCGAGCCAGTCAGGAGTTGTCATGTGCTCACCATGCTCCGCACGATACAGATCGTCGAGGCGAAAGAAGCAACGAGACTCGTTGTGGTTGGTGCGAGTGCAGGTCGCTCCAGGCTGACCTGTGCGACGGACGTACCCGCAGCGAGCTGGGCCACCTGAGCTGCCACGTCGGATCGCCCACTCACGAAGCTGCTGGCGAGAGTTGCGCCTGTCGGCTCAGCTGCTGCTGCTGCTGACCACCTCCAGAGCCACCACCACCACCCGCTGCACCCCAAGACGCAGCTGAACGAGTGGCCGGACCCCCGGCCGCTCCTCCGCCAGCTCCACTCCTAGTGCCACCTCCACCCCCTCCACTAACCCCACTGCCTCCACTACCCCCTCCTCCTCCTCTGCCGCCTCCACCTCCTCCTCACCCACCACCACCACCACCTCCACCGCCACCACTGCTGCCCCCGCCACCCCCACCCTTGCCACCCTTGTCCTTGCCGCTGCGGCGCCTCCCACTAGGAGCAGACGCATCACCGACCTCCTCAGCACCAAGTGCAAGACCGTCCCGAAAGGAGATTTCCCAAACTTTAAGTTGGGTTTGGTGTCTTTGTTGAACATGGTTGTGATAGGTGTTTAACCCTTCTTTAACGGTTTTTTTAAGACTAACAACCCGCTCTGTCTTGCGCAGATGTCGTCGTGGCGTGCCATCAGAACGGTTGAATGGACGCCGCAGGCGTCACGCGGTGGCTAGACGAGTGCATCAAGCCGTTCATTTTGCCCCGGTTCGGAAGACATGCGAGGAGCGGGCTGCTGGTGTTGGATTCGTACCGCGGGCATCTCATAGAGGAGGTGAAGGCGAAGTTCGTCGAGCTGAAGATCGTCCCGGGGATCATCCCGGTGGGTTGTACAGCAGTACCAGACTTAGTTCGAGGAAGACGGCATAAACACGCTGACACGTGTCGGTGCGATTGACGCTCTCTCCCTTGCACGCGTGTGTTGCTTCCCACCCTCTGTTGATCTGACTACGTCCCCCTTTGTTTCATGTTGTGCAGGCAACGTCAAGAAGCCGCCACCTGCAATGGTGCTCAGGTGGATCTCCTGGGCATGGAAGGCAGTGCCTGCTGACCTCATCAAGCGAGCTTTCCTCACGTGCGGTATGAGCAACGTGCTTGACGAGAGCGAGGAGAAGCTCGCCGTGGTGCACAGGAGGAGCCAGCTCACCCACGAGGTGGACATGGACGACGATATCATCGACGATGGCTTCTGGGGCAACAACTGCCCGGAGCCTGAGTCGGATGAAGAGGATGATCTGCCCTGAATCTTTAGTTAGGCTAGTCTAGCTTGCTGCGCAAACCTGGGCGCCATGTTTAGTAGAGGAGTTGCAATGTTAAAATCAATAGATTTAGGACTTTCCAGTTCTTGATCATTAAATCTTGTAACTTGATAATGAGTAAAGAGCAAGAAGGTGGCGCTTATGATAAGTCAAGGTCTCAACATGGGTGCGCTTTTAATTGAGGACCGGCCATAAGCGCATGGCTCCAGATAGAAGCGCCGGCGCCACTAATCGGACGGCGCTTACATCCAGGGTGATACGGTATCAATGTATCAATAAAGATTGAGGAGGAGTTGGGTGGGAGAGAGCAACAGGTGGGTTGGCGAGAGCAACGGGTGGGCGCGAGAGAGCAACGGGTGGGCGCGAGAGAGCAACGGGTGGGCGCGAGAGAGCAACGGGTGGGCGCGAGAGAGCAACGGGTGGGCGCGCGAGAGAGTTACGAGTGGGCGCGAGAGAGCAACGGGTGGGCGCGAGGGAGGAACGGGTGGGCGTGGGGGAGGAACGGGTGGGTGTGAAAGAGGAACAGGTAGGCGTGAGATATGGACAGGTGGGTGTGAGAGAGGATAGGTAGGTGTGAGAGAGGAGCAGGTGGGTGTTATTGAGGAGCCAACCAACCAGCAAAGAGCACAAGCAAGGAGCTTGCTCGTGCTCAAAGAAAGCACATGCAAGTCTCTTCTAGCCATAAGTATAAACTCATCTCGAAAGTTTTCGTCCAGCTGGTCGACGATTTCTCTTGCGTGAATTTAAACAGGTCCTCCATGGACCTCGGAATGATCCCCCAAGAATCTCCTTTGGTTGCGGGGCCGAACACAAAGAATATCTTGCACGACCCGGGCGGGGCCATAGGTAAACAAACAAACATGAAACAACAAGACTGGTAAATACACAACAATACATACAAAATATGATTGCAAAAACAAGATAATTTATTACATTACCTTAACGTCGTCAATGACGCTCATGATGAACTCTGAAACGTAACGATATACGTCTTCTTAGCTTGTTGTGTGTGGGAAAACTTTGTTGAGCTCGAATGTTCACGCCCTAAATAGCCATGAAAATAACAATGTAAAAAAGAAAAAGAAAATCAGACGGGAAAGAGAGTGGCAAGAGAAACATTTCATACATTGAATCTGGCAGGATAGAGGCACACATTCATGGCAACATGAAAGAAATGTAATCCATCATCTCAACAAGGATCTTCATTCCAATTGACCCTTTGATTGGTGTCGCGGAATAACGAGCCACGCAATCGTATGTGTGTGATTTGATATTTTTCAAACGTGATATTCGTCTGAACACTTGTAGTAGTCAATTGCTCACTCTGCAGTTAAAGCACAAATAGTAATAGTGATAACTGAAGTTGTGGCATTGATCAATTGAACAAACTAGTGCTGCACATGACAGTGCCAATGATAGTCTTGGAACCGAGGCGTGCGCGGCGCGGAAGGGGGGGCGCGGGCGCGCGGGCGAGGCGTGCGCGGCGCGGGGGGGGGGGGGGGGGGGCGCGGGCGAGGCGTGCGCGGCGCGGGGGGGGGGGGGGGGGGGGGGGGGGGGGGGGGGGGGGGTGCGGGCGCGTGGGCGAGGCGTGCGCGGCGCGGGCGCGCGGGCGAGGCGCGCGCGGCGCGGGGGGAGGGGGGGGGCGTGGGCGCGGGCGCGCGGGCGAGGCGTGCGCGGCGCGGGGGGGAGGGGCGCGGGCGCGCGGGCGAGGCGTGCGCTGCGCGGGGTGGGGGGGGGGGGGGGGGGGGGGGCGCGGGCGCACGGGCGAGGCGTTCGCGGCGCCGGGGGGGGGGGGGGGTGCAGGCGCGCGGGCGAGCCGTGCGCGGCGCGGGGGGGCGAGCCGTGCGCGGCGTGCGCGGCGCGCGCGGGGGGGGGGGGCGCGGCGCGCGGGCGAGGCGTGCGCGGCGCGGCGCGGGGGCGCGGGCGCGCGGGCGAGGCGTGCGCGGCGGGGGGGAGGGGATCTTAGGTGCGATGAGACGGGGTAGGAAGGTGCTGTGAGAGGGGGAAGGGAGGTTTGCTGAGAGAGGGGGAAGGGAGGTTTGCTGAGAGAGGGGGAAGGGAGGTTTGCTGAGAGAGGGGGAAGGTAGGTTTAGTTAGAGAGCGGAATTGGAGGTGAGAACAGAGGGGGAAGGGAGGTGCTGAGAGAGGGGGAAGGGAGGTGCTGGCAGGGAGGAAAAATGCGGTGTCGGAGGGGGGAAGGGCTGGCTGGGGCAATGCAATGATATGAGATGGGGAAGAGAGGTGCTGAGAGAGGGCGGACGAGGTAATGTCATAGTGGGAAGGGAGGTGAGTACAGAGGGGGAAGGGAGGTGCTGTGAGAGGGGGAAGGTTGAGAGGACAGAGGGGGGAGGAAAGGGAAGTGAGAGGGGGAATAGAGGTGCTGAGAGAGGGGGAAGTGAGGTGCTGAGAGATGGCGGAGGGAGGTGCTGGCCGGGTGGAGATAGGCGGAGTCGGAGGGGGGAAGGGCGGTGCTTGCTGGGGGGAATGCAACGATGTGAGAGGGGGAAGAGAGGTGCCTAGGGAGGGGGAAGGGAGGTGAGGTGAGAGGGGGAAGGGAGGTGAGGTGAGAGGGGGAAGCGAGTTGCTGTGATAGGGGAAAGGGAGGTGCTGTGAGATGGGGAATGTATGCTGTGATTGGAAAAAACATTCCCCAGCACCCCCTCCCCGCTTTCCCACAGCTCTGGTATTTGGTGCATGGAGAGGGGAAGGGGGGTGCGGTCAGAGGGGCACGAAAAGTGCTTAGGGAGGGGGAAGAGAGTTGAGGCGCGCGGGGTAGATATGTGCTTAAGGAGGGAGATGGGAGGTGTCAAGTGAGGGGGAAAGGAGGTGCTGTGAGAGGGGAAAGGGTGGGGGGGTCATAGGAGGAAGGGAGATGAGGGTAGGGGGAGAGGAGGTGATGTCAGAGGGGTGACGGAAGGTGCTGTGAGACGCTGTAAGGAGGGGCTGACAGAGGGGGAAGGGATGCGGTGTGGGAGGTGCTGGCAGGGGGGAAGGCTAGGATGTGAGAGGGGGTAGAGTGGTGCATAGGGAGGGGAAAGGGAGCGTAGGTCAGAGATTGTAAAGGGAAGGTGCGATGAGGGGGGTTTAGGTGAGGTAAAAGGTAGAAGATAGGTACAGCCAAAAGTGGGATTTGGGGTGGTGACTAAGTACATCTAAAGGCGGTGACATGTCTTGCGAGTGATGGCATAGCCTAACGCGCATGCCCTTTCATTGTGCCTCTGCAACCCGTCACCATCCCAGCAGGCCATACACCACAACGCCAATCCTCTTGAAGACTGGCGACTGACAAACATTTGCGCAGCGTGTCGCAATGGCACCTAGGTGAGTGGTACGGGTTGTTTGACGGGTTGTTTGAGGTTGCGTGTCGCACAACAACCAAATACTAGCATATGAAATTGACATGTGATCGTAATGGCAGGCGATCCAAGAACAAGGAGGAGACTTTGCAGAAGCAGCTTAAAAACATTGTGGGAGGTGTGAAACAAAGGCCAGTGGGGCTGGGGAAACACACTGTCTTACCCGTAACCATTATGCGATGCGGTTTATCAGCACTGATGGGGAGGGAGGCATCGTTTAACGACGTGCTGCATGTCCTCATGGTTCCGGCCTCCGATGTTGTCGTGAAGCTTATAAATGCAGCAACTGTTACATGTAAGTGTCTTGTTGTTACAATTGTGCACCAACCAGCGAACACTTGCAAACAACCAACTAATATGCCCAAACCACGATGTTTATGGTAGGTGGGAATGGCACCACGGTGAAAGAACAAACAGAATTACAATTGGAAGCGCAACGAGCAAGCTTCCTCATGAGCCAGCCGGGGGAAAAGGTTGACGAGGCACAACGCTCCAGAGAAAGCCGCTGTCAATGGGCGGCTTCATTTTTTAGTTCAATACATACCATCTCAATGAGGATGGTGTGCTTGAGCCGGATAATGGGCATGGCCATGGAGGTGACCGTCGCGGACCGGCATATCAAGCACTAGATGATGCGGGTATGTCAATGTCAGGGTGTATTTTACACACCACTAGGTGAAGTGTCGAACTGGCATGTTGTCGCACGCGGAGTTTTGTTCAAGTTGTCGCACGTCTCCCTACACCCATTTGCCCTGGTCGAAAGACATGCGACCAGTCTTATATATTCTATGGGGCACACATCACGCAATCCCACCATGTTTGTAAAAGATTTACCTATAACCAATTATCCTTGTGTGCCCATATACCCATATGCCACACATGGACAACAAAGCGCAGCGGGAAGAGGAGCGCATGATGTGAGTGGGAACGAAGAATCACCCGTCACGGATTCGCCACCCGTAGGATGTGAGACTGTTGTGGAGGCGTTTGAGGCAGTGAACGATGTGGGGCATGTGGAAGAGGGGAGAGCGTTGGGAGAGGGGGATGGCCTTATTGTTGATGGACAAGACGAAGGGGATGGAGCTAGAAGGGCATCCGAGCCCGAGCGCCCGAACGCTAGGGAAACTGCCTCTACTGCTGCAATCCGGCCCCATCTTGATGGGTAAGTGCTCTCGTTGAGTGTCTGGCCTCATTCAAAGGCTTCCCTAGCTTATTTTGGTATAATGCTCGCAACTTCATCCATTCACCTAACACGTCGCGAGTCTATACATCCGTTCAAAAGCTGTCATAGCTTGTTGAGTGTGTGGCTTCGTTCGGAAACTTTCACAAACTTGTTTTGGCATTTTCACTTCGACCCCACCACAGCTTAACATCGGGACGTGCTGGAGCACCCCTCCGAAGGGGTCTCGCTCAATCCTGGCCTCTGTCGGCCAACGCTGCCACAACTAGCCTCAAAGGGGCGGTATGTGTGTTAGACCCATTGTATTGCTACAGTTCTTCATGAGTCTGGGAGCGGTCTCGTGTTAGGCGACCGTGAATAAGGGCTCGTTGGTCGTGCGATCGAGCAAGATGATGTGGGCGACGTTGGGGGTCTTGGGGGTCTTGTGGGTCTGCGATACGTGTGGCAAGGTTATACAGTTTTGGTATACTGAAAGGGGCAAAATCACCAGGGGTCTAGGCAAACAGGGCCCAACGACCTCCTTTCTATTTCCGCGGTGGTTGGGGGCATTTGTTATTGCGGGAATAGGCTTCCAGCAGGTGTCGAAGGTTAGTCGGACACTTGGTTTTAAGTCTATCAGGAAAGATACATTTTATCGTTACATGCGACGGCCGTACGGTTTGTGGGAGGCTATCATCGTCCATGGGGAAGAGAGCATGGCTAGAGCCCGACAGGACATGCAGCTGCGCAAAAAAAGTGATGGGTACATTTGCGTGGATGGGCGTTGGTCACAGGCAAGGGATGCGCAGTGGTGCACTGTCACTTTCATGGATCCACGGCCACGGAAGATGTTGTTGACTGTCACCGTATGTAAAAATGAGGAGGGAAAGTCATCGACTGAGTTAGAAGGGGTTGCATTCAAGCTTGGGTTGGAGAAATTGAAAGAGTGGGGGTTCAATGTGACCGGGATCATAAGTGACGATGGAGGGTCATTCAAGAGGGCCTTAGTTGGTACGGGTATCAACCATCTGATGGACGTTTGGCACAAAGGTCGAGCATTGACACGACTGTTTTTGAAGGCACAAGTGGGTACTATGACAGTGGATAAGGCCAAGTCATGTTTCAGTTGTGGTCCGTGTCACCGAAGGAGTTGTGGGAGTGGTTGACGCTAAACAATGGTGCGGGGAAATGTGTGAGTTCGCGGTCCGCAAAAAAAACACTGATCCGCCATGTATGTGCGAAATTGGGGACGATTCAGTTTGATGCATCGGCAAAGGCTGCTGAGAAATGGGCATTCTTGGAGATGCGTAAGGTGTTGAAGGTCAGGGCGAAGCCGGTTGAACCACCGACCAAACGACGAAGGGGCTTGGAGCGAAAGGGGGGGATGGAAGTGCAGCATGAGCATAGAGGTGGGGGAGGAGAGAATGGCGACGTCGATTCAACATCCCATGATGTCGGTGCTTCGGGTGGGGAAGCAGATGAGTTCTCGCAGATTCTGGGGATCAAGTGGGTCGACGTTGATACAACATTTGATTTTGATCCGCATCCCACGCATGCCGCGCGGGACGACATCACCCACGATTTCATCAGGGAGTCGACCGAGTCTATGTTCTGCCTAGAGGACATCGAGATGATAACTCATGGTGATTTTGAATTCAAAAATTATTAAATTCTATGCCGGAGATACAAGATACATTCGTCCCTAATGTGTTGCACATTTTCTTGGGCACATTCAGGCGAAGTGGAGTCAGGTCCAGAGATGGGGCGACATCAGCAGGCCGTAGAGTCTGGAGTGGCGGGGGAGCCTGTAGTGGTGGGGGAGCCTGGAGTGGCTGAAGTGGCTAGGGAGCCTCGATAATCGGAGGAGCCTGGAGTGGCGGAGGAGCCGTTAGTGGCGGAGGAGCCTGGAGTGGCGAGGGAGCCTGGAGTGGCGGGGGAGGCTGAAGAGACTAGGGAGCCTGGATCATCGGAGGAGCCTGGCGTGGCGGAGGAGCCTGGAGTGGCGGAGGAGCCTGGTGTGGCAAAGGAGTGTGTAGTGGCGGGGGAGCCTGGAATTGCGGGGGAGCAGGTAGAGGCGGGGGATCCTGGAGTGGCGGAGGAGCCTGGAGAGGCGTGGGAGCCTGGAGTGGCGGGGGAGTCTGGAGTGGCGGGGGAGAAAGTCGTTGCGGGGGAGCCTGGATCGTCGGAGAATGTCGTTGGGAGTCGTACCCCAAGGTGGCAGGCGAGAAAAACAGGGAAGCAGAAACGTGCTCAAGAGGGGTGTAGCAGTGAGGATACGGAAGGTGAAGAGGCTGATGTAACTGTTGGTCAGCGCGTCTGTATTCATTTTCACCATTGCGTGATGCGCGCTGCAACAAAGGCAAAAGCAGGTCATCCAATGACTCCTCAAGAAGTGGCTGATGAGATTGGGGGGTGCGGAGACCATCGGGCGGGCATACACACTGGTTGTCAGCGAGATGGCGTGGTCACACGTTGTGTTAGGGAAGGTTGGGGGGAGGACTGTATGAACCGGGTTCGACGACTCACACTTCGTTCAAAGAGTGGTTGTCGGTCAATTGTGGCCCAGGTCCCATGGCAGCATAAGTTTTAGGGGCATCAAACTGGATGAACGAATCGTTTCACTCGTTGATCACGAAGTACGCGTCGAAACTTATAGCGTTCCTTGGCAGTATGGAGGCTCTGGTGGCGTTGAGTGTGCTGCACTGGAACCACGCGGTGGAGAGGGTTGTCAGGGAGTGGCGAACACGCGTACGCAAGGTAACACGAGTGCGGCGTGGGACGAAAGATCGGGTGCTTGGTCCAATGGATTGGCGTTGGGTGTATGAGGTCTTGGAGCGATGGTCCAAGATAAGGGAGCGTGGAGGCGACGCTGAGAGCATTAGAGCCGAGGAGCAAAGGGGAGAGGCACTGTTTGGGGAAGTGAATAAGGGGGGGGGAGATGGAGGACGAGGCGGAGGACGAGGGCGCAAAGGACGTGGAAGGAGTCGAGGTGGTTCCCGAAGAAGTAGAGGAGGCTGCAGTGAGGTTGGGAGCGCCCCTAGGGGACGAGAACGAGGCGCCTCAAATTAGTTCCATTCCCATTCGTCTTCCCTCGACGCCACCCCGCGTTGGGAGTTGTGCTCCGGCGCGCACGCCATTCTCACCGCTGACGCCATTCCTGATGCATTCGTGTTCACGAGCCCTGCAAGCATGTGTGATTCCGCTTCAGGGGCATGTACACGACGTCGTACCGGCAACAACGCGCGCCCCAATAGAGTCCAGCGGATCTACCGCTTGGTCAGTGTTGGGGTGTGTAATCACCACCGTTTTTTAAATCATATGGCTGCATATCTACACCATTTTGTTTAGTAAGATAAAACATCATCTTTGTGGTCTGTGATCATAACGTCCCCAATTCAGGCGACCCGTCCCACCCGCCACAAGCATGACGTCATTGTACGAGATGATCGGGCTATGTGCAAAAAACGACGCAAAATTCTCTCGAGGTATGGACATATGGTTTGTTGTAGAGTTTCTTTCTATGCAAAGGAGTATTCTATGTTTGTTATCCCATTCAAAACGTTTTTTCCTTTCAACATATTTGTGGGCTTCACGCATGACCTTGGAACCAAATCTCAATCTGGTATCACCGAATTTGGCAGTATGGTGTCGATTTGTAAGTCTTCCAAACACCCACGTACAAGCCGCCTTGTCGCTTCCATCACCTTAGTTTCCCCCTCTACCATCACCCCCCATCTCCCATTGCCATCATCTCATCCAACTTCCCAAATCATCTCTTCCCCCTTGCCATCATCATTCATAAACCTTTGCCATCACCTCACACATCCTCTCTTCTTCCCCAGCCATCACCATGCATATAATCAACAACCATTATCTTCTTCCACCTTCCATCCCCTATCATCACCCCATGCCATCACCTTGCCTCTCCCCTTGGTCATCTCTTCCCTTTCCCCCCTGACCTCACCTCCCGCCCGCATTTTCCATCACCTCTCATCCCCCTTTGCCACCTCCTCTCATCCCCCCTTGCCATCACCATTCTTTTCCCACTGCCATCACCTCCCATATCCCATTGCCATCACCTCTCATCCCCCTTTGCCATATCCTCTCATCCCTCCTAGTCATCATCATTCCTCTCCCATTGCCATCATCTCCTAAATCCTCTCTCCTCAACCTTTCAGTGCCACTCATATAATCAATTATTGTTATCTCATTCCCCCGTCCATCCCATATCATACCCCCGTGTTAACACCTTACCTTCCCCCCTTCGCCACCTCTTCCCTTTCGACGCTGACCTCACCTCCCGCCATCCTCTTCTATCACCTCTCTTCCCCTTTTTCCACCTCTCATCCCCCGTTGCCATCATCGGTCATCTCCCCTTGCCATCACCTCCCATATCCTCCCTTTCCCCTCTCCCAACCCCACTCACCCCCCTTATTCTCATCACGCCCTTGCGGTTACTTTCCATTCCCCCTTCCATCCCCTATCATCCCCATATGCCATCACCTTTCCTACCCCCTTCGCCATCTCCCTCTTTCCCTGCCACCATCACCTCTCGCGGCGTTGGCGGCAGCTGAGTGTTGGGGAGCAGAGAATGGCATTGGTGATAGTGTGGAAGGAGAAAGGGCGATGGCGAAATACGGAACCATGTACGGTTATTGTTGTACAACTTGGCAAAACAGATGCTAAGCTAGTTTTAATTACGTGTGGTACCAACTTTGACATGTGGCTTCGTGCTGCTACATGTAACCTGTTTGGGGAGAGTGCGACGCGTTGCGCTACATATTAAGAGGGAGTGAATTGCAGTGGCTATGTATGTCTATGCGTCCCCAAGGTGGTATAATGCATCACATCAAGCATGGGTTGTCTGCTTATGATGTAATGATGTAGTGCCATAAGTTATTAGAACCCTCTTAGAACAAGCTTTGCTATATTTCAGTAGCCTAAACCAGAGCAAACAGATGACAGCACATCACTGTACCGCATGTTAGGTTTGGTGGGATAAGCTTTTGGGAATACACCGAGTATATATTCAAGCGGGTGGTTCATTGTCAAGTAAACGTGATGGCTAGCATGTACAAACACAATGATTACAACATGCATATTCACACAACTCGCGACTCTTGTGTCTCGACCACGTTCCCTACCTCTGCGCTCACACCCGGGCTGCTCATGGTGAAGTCGATCTCACTGGGGATTGTCCAAGACATGAACCAATCTACATCTGCCTGGCTACACCCCACATAACCTTCATCAGTAAGCTCCGGATAAAGTGACCTATGACAACGTACACAAGTCATGGCAATGTAACGTGTGCAAACGCGTGGTCCCCTAACAGTTGGAGTACTCGAAGTAGCAACGGAAGCGGTGTTTTTTAGCTACTATAGCTTGCCCATTTGCATCCTCTGTCCTGTTCTTTCCAAGACAGATACGTAGGACACTCTCAACAGTAACACTCTCGTCCGTATCGCAACTCTCCTGCCCCAGGCCGAGCTCATTCATGGCCCACGATGTTAGAAATGTAAATATAGCATGCTAAGTATAAAAGGGGTTGGGGCTACACCCAACTTTGGGTGTAGCTTGCTTTGTAGGCCTACACACAACTTTGGGGTGTAGACTTGCAAGTTGGGGTGCCAATCCAACCCACAAGTGTTGGAGCCCCCAAGTGCAAGTTGGGTACCCCCTCTTTGCAACCCACAAGTTGGGTGCCCCCTCCTTGCAACCCATATGGTCCTTGTTGCAAGTTGGGTGCCCCCTCCTTGCAAGTTGCCATAGGGACCACCCAACCACCCAACTTTCCCCTTTCTCTTCCAAGCTCCTCTTGCATCCTATGTATGCTCCCTTGTTCCCAATCAAGCTAATGATTCAGTTCACAATCTTCACATGGTATAGAGCTATCCTTTCCAAGGCCTTACCTCCCCCCACCTCCAGTTTGTTTTCCAAGGGCCCACCATCCGCTTCCCTCATGCAGCGACATCACCGTCGCCGTTGTCCTCCCTTCCCACCGCGACCTTACCGTCGCCGTCGTCCCTCCCTCCCCTCCCCATTTCGGCGCTTTCCCGCCGCGGCCTCTCCGCCGCCGCCCGTGCCTTTCCGCCGCGACCCCCTTCCTCCCCCCCCCCCTCCGCTATTTCCGCCGCCGCGATTTCGCCGCGGATTTCGCCGTCCGTGCCCCTCCGCCAGCGGATTTCGCCGCCGCGACCGCTACGTCGCCGCCCTCTGATCCCGCCGCCGCGACCGCTACGTCGCCGCCCTCTGATCCCGCCGCCGCGACCTTTTCGTCGCCGCCTGCCTTCCCAGCCGCCGCGACCTCTTCGTCGCCGCCTGCCCCTCAAGCCGCCGCGACCACGCCGTCGCCGCCTGGCCCTTCCGCCGCCACGACCATCTCGTCGCCGCCTGCCCGTCCCGTCCCCGCGACTACGTCGTCGCCGCCCGTTGTACCAGCCGCTGCGACTGCAAGTCGTCGCTGCCGCCTGCCCCTCAAGCCGCCGCGACCACGCCGTCGCCGCCTGGCCCTTCCGCCGCCACGACCATCTCGTCGCCGCCTGCCCGTCCCGTCCCCGCGACTACGTCGTCGCCGCCCGTTGTACCAGCCGCTGCGACTGCAAATCGTCGCTGGCTCGTCCCGCCGCCGCGACCTCCCGTCGCCGCCCGCGCATCCCACCGCCGCGACTACGTCGTCGCCGACTGTGGTACCCGCCGCCGCGACTGCAAGTCGCCGCCTGCCCATCCAACCGCCGCGACTGCCTCGTCGTCGCCTGAGCGTCCCGCCGCCGCGACTGAACCGCCGTCGCCCGCAATTCCCGCCGCCGTGACTGCACCGCCGCCGACCGCAATTTCCGACGCCGTGACTGCACCGTCGCCACCTCCGATTCCCGCCACCACGACTGCGCGTCGCCGCCTGCGCCTCCCGCCGCCGAACCTACCCCCCATCCCCACCGTGACCGAGCCGTTACCGACCGCGGTTTCAGCCGCCGCGACCACACCGTCGCCGCCTGCCCATCCCGCCACCGCGACCACGTCGTCCCCGCCCACGTGTCCTGCTGCCGTGACTGCCCCGTCGCCCCCTGCATATTCCGCCGCCACTCCACCCTCCCCCCTCCTCACCGCTTTCTCCAAGCCATTTCAGCCGCAGCGGTAGCTGCACCCTCCTTCCCCTCCCCCCCCCCCCTCTCCCTCCTCCTCTCCCTCCCCCCCCCCTCCCCAGCAGCATTGGCAGCAGCGGCATCGGCAGCAGCAGCGGCAGCAGCGGCAGCAGTGGCAGCAGCGACAGCAGGCAGCGGCGGCAGCAGTGGCTGCAGCGTCATCAGCGGCAGCAGCGTCAACAGCGACTGCACCCTCCTGTCCCCCCCCTCTCCCTCCTCCTCTCCCTCTCCTCCCCTCCCCAACAGCAGTGGCAGCAGCGGCAGCAGCGGCATCAGCGGCAGCAGCAGCTGCAGCAACAGCAGCAGCAGCAGCAGCGGCAGCAGCGGCAGCAGCGGCAGCAGCAGTAGCAGCAGCGGCAGCAGCGGCAGCAGCGGCAGCCGCACCTGCGACTGCATCCTCCTTTCCCCCCCCCTCTCTCTCCCTCCTCCTCTCCCTCTCTCCTCTCCTCGGGAGCAGCGGCAGGAGCGGCATCAGCGGCAGCAGCGGAAACAGCAGCAGCAGCGAGCGGTGGGGTGCATCAGCAGCAGCAGTCGGAGGGGTCCAGCTGCAGCAGCTCCAGCAGCAGCACCCTCCCCCTGGCCGCCGCGGGTCCACCTGCCGTCGCCTCCCCCTTGACCGCCGCGGGTCCACCCGCCATCGTCTCCTCCTTGGTCGCCGCGGGTCCACCCGCCGTCGCCCCTCATGGCTACCACCTCTCCTGCCCCTCTCCCCCCTCCCATCGACGCCTCCTCGGTCGACAAGCTACAGCTTGCTGCAGATCACTCCGCCATCAACTGGCACTCGTTTGTCGGCAGCATTTGCCGCATCCTTCAGGACGCCTTCGTCGGACCCTACTGCGTCCTTGATGTTCTCCTTCGCCGTCCGCAGGCTCTCCAGCCGACTACACCCAATCACCCTGGCGAACCTCCTCCTCTCCCTCCCCCTCCTGGCTCCCCTCCTCCTAAGCCTAACCTGGGCGTGGCCGCTACCACCGAGCTTCAGGCTGCTGCTGACGCCACCTTCCTCCACAACCGCCGCGAATACCTCATCCGCAAAGCCGACCATGAGGTTGCTGTGCTCAACTACGAATTTGCGACGTCGGAGCGTGCCACTCGCCTGGCGCTGATTGCAGAGTACAACACCTCCATGGCGCTTCACATCCCCAACAGCATCGCCTGGGCCGCAACCGACAACCGCGCCTGCACCATCCTCCTCGGTGCCCTCCCCGACGCCCTCATGCGCCGCTTCCAAGCTCGTGAAATGCGAGCTCACCTAATATGGACCGAGCTCCAGTCTATGTTCGAGCGCCGCGACATCAGCTCCGTCGGCGTTCTCTTCCAGGAGTACTTCTCCATTACCCTTGCCACCTGCGACGGCGCAGTCGACTACATGGGGCGCATGCAGGAGGTCGCCGATCGCCTTGCCGCTCGCCAGGCTGCCCTCTCCGAGCCCCTGCAAATTCATCGTCTGCTCTTCAACTTCACGTTGGACTACGAGTCCCGCCTGCACGCCTTCACCGAGGCAAACCCCTTGGCTCGCCTCACCGAGGTGAATCAGTGGACCATTGACACTGAAGTCAAGCTCCGCACCCCCATTGTCAACCTCACCACCACTCATTCCTCCTCCACCTCCCTCAATGCCACGCAGCCGCGCACCCCAGGTGGTCGCAACGGCAGCGGAGGAGGTCGTGGAGGGGGCGGGGGTGGTGGTGGTGGTCGGGGTGGTGACGGTGGTGGCCGTGGAGGCCGTGGTGGTGGCGGTGGTGGTGGTCCTGGTGGTACCACTCCTGGAGGTCCCTTTAGTGCCGGTGGAGCTGTGAGCCGTGGAGGTCGCCCTGGGACTCTCCCCCCCTGCACATACGTTCGCCGTCATGGTCCCCACGAGCACGCCGTATGGTCAGACCAACCAACCCCCTGCCACATGCTTCAAGGCGATCGATGACGCCTGGTTTGACCACGGCAACACTGGTACCCCTCCTCGCTGGAATAGTGTTACCCCTCGCCCCTCCCTCGTGGACATTCAGACCCTCCCCTCCTTCCTCCCCGCTCACCTCCGCCTGCTCACCCCCTCCCCTCCTTCCCAGCTGCAGCAGTTTCAGCAGCACCAGCAGCAGCAGCAGTACATCCCGCAGCAGCAGCAGCCGCAGTTTCTCCAGCCGCAGCAGCCGCAGTTCCTCCAGCCGCAGCTGCCACCGCAGTAGCAGTTCTTCCAGCAGCAGCAACCGCCGCAGTACCTTCAGCCGCAGTGGCAGCAGCAGCCGATGAACTTCGGCACAGCGGCCATAGCCGCTCATGCCTCCCTTGCTCCCCCCCCCTGGGGTTCCATCTCCTCTGCCCCCCCCCCAGTGTCCCTGACTCTCAGGGCAGTTTCCTTGGTCATGTTGCTGTTGCACCATCCGTCGCTTCCATGTATCCCTCTGCTATCAATGAGACGTCTTTCCAGTACCCCGTGTCACCTCCCCTCCTTCCTTCCCCACCTTGGACTTCGTCCTTGACAGTGGGGCCACAGAAATTGCACTCAAAGACGCTGGCACCCTCACCCCTCTTCCACTTCCCACCTAGGTTCATGGTGCTGACTCCAGATTTTCCATCCCATGCATTCACCTCTCCACCATCCCTTGCACCGCTTTCCCGTCTGGTAAGGTCACAGGTCTCCACATCCCTACCCTTCGCAACAACCTCCTCTCTCGCCGAGAGCTCCAAGGTGTTGGTATTACCGCCATTTACCCTGGCTTTGCTACCTAGTGTGATCTCTACCATACCGCCTCTGGTCGCTTCCTTCTGCGCATTCCCCTTTGCCCTCGCACTTGCCTTTACATGCTCCGTACACCCCGTCCCTCTTTCTGTCATGTTACCACTCGTGCTGGTACTTCCACCGGTCCTCCTCCCCCTCTCCCCCCCCCTCAGGTATCCTCCTCCCCTAATCCCCCCCCCCTCCTCCTCCCTCCCCACCTCTGCTCCCACCCCATCCCCCTCCTCCTCCCTCCCCACCTCTGCTCCCACCCCATCCCCCTCCTCCTCTACTGCCCTCTCCCACCCAGCAGTCATTTTGCATCACAGACTCGGCCATCCCAACTTCGCCGCACTTCGCACCACTGTCACCTCTCGCCTCCTTAACAGCCTCCCTCCCACCTTACCTCCCCTCCCCTCCTCCCCTGCTCCCCCATGCCCATCATGCATTCATGGCAAGCTCAAACAGTCCCCCCATCACAGCCATCCCACCTTTGCTCCCGCTCCCATTGACCTTGTCCACATGGATCTCTGGGGTCCCTATCCCATCCGCTCCCGTCAGGGGCACCGGTACATGCTCGTCCTCGTCGACTACCACAGTCGGTACTCCACTGTCTTTTTCCTCCACACCAAAGACCACGTGCCGGCTGTGGTCATCAACTGGGCTGAGCAGTGCCGCACCCACTTCAAACGCCCCATTGGCCGCCTTCACTCTGACGGTGGGGGTGAGTTCATCAACAACACCCTCGCCACCTTCTGCAAAACACATGGCATTCAGCAAACCTCCACCCTTCCCCACTCCCCTCAGCAAAATGGCATTGCTGAGAGTCGCATTCGTGAAATCACCAAAATTGCCCGTTGCCTCATTGCTCACGCCTCCACCCCTCCTTCCCTTTGGAGCTATGCCCTCCTCCATGCCGCCCTCCTCCTCAATCTCCGCTCCCACCCTCAGCATCCCTCCTCCTCCCCCAAGGCCAAGGCCAAGCCTGACGCTGCCGACCTTCGCGTATGGAGCTGCAAGTCGTTTGTCCTCATCCCACCGGCCGATCGCTCCCGTGCCGCTGGCAAGCTCGCCCCTCGTGCCCTGGAGTGCGTCTACCTCGGGCACAATCGCGACTCCCCAGGCTACCTGTTCCTCCACCCTCCCACCAACCGCCTCATCCGCAGCATTGACGTCGTCTTCGACGAGTCCATTCCCTACTACTCCACTCCTCCTCCTGACCCTCTCCCTCCTCCCTCTCGCCCCCTCGCCTGGACCGACACTGTCCTCCCACCTCTCCTCCCTCCCGCTCCTCTCCTCCCCCCGGTTGCCGCTCCACTTCCTCCTTCCTCCTCTGCCGACGTCTACAACCCCGCCTCCCCGGCCCACTCAGCTGCGCCCCCTCCCCCCTCTCCCTCCTCCTCTCACTCTCCCCCTTCTCCGCAGCAGCTGGGCCAGCAGCAGCAGCAGCAGCGGTAGCAGCAGCAGCAGCAGCAACGGCAGCAGCAGCAGCAGTAGCAGCAGCAGCAGCCGGGTCAGCAGCAGGGGCAGCCGCAGCAACAGCAGCGGCCGGGTCAGCAGCAGCAGCCAAGTCAGCAGCTCGGGCAGCAGCAGTAGCAGCAGCAGCAGGGGCAGCAGCAGCAGCAGCAGCAGCAGCAGCAGCAGCAGCAGCAGCAGCAGCAGCAACAGCAGCAGCAGCAGCAGCAGCAGCAGCAGCAGCAGCAGCAGCAGCAGCAGCAGCAGCAGCAGCAGCAGCAGCAGCAGCAGCGGCAGCAGCGGCAGCAGCGGCAGCAGCGGCAGCAGCGGCAGCAGCGGCAGCAGCGGCAGCAGCGGCAGCAGCGGCAGCAGCACCGAGTCACTTCCCGCTCCTCCCCGTTCCTCCTCCCTCGTATGCATACCCGCTCCGTGGACAAAATCCTTAGAGCCCCTCCTCCCTCCTCCATTCAGCGCCTTGAGGACTCCCATGAGGAGTTCCCCAACATTCGGCACCACACTCCTTTCCTTGCCTCCATCTTCCTTGACTTCCTTGGCCTTCCCGTCCTTGGCGCCACCTCCACCCCTACCATCTTCACTCCATCCACCTTTCAAGAGGCCATCACCTGCCTTGATGGGGACAAGTGGATAGCGGCAATCTTCCTGGATTGTGAGGCATTCATTCGCAATGACTCCTTCGTTGATGTCCCCCTCCCCGCCGACGCCAACCTTGTCGAGGGCAAGTGGGTCTTTCGGGTGAAGCAGCTGCCGGGCGAGGATCCGGTCTACAAGGCCCGCTACTGCGCTAAGTGTTTCACCCACACTTGGGCTGAGGATTACTGGTTCACCTACGCCCCACCGCCAAGCCGCCCACCCTTCGCACCCTCCTCGACATTGGTGCGCGCGACGACACGGAGATCTGCTCCATGGACGTCTCCAACGCATTCCTGCAGGGGGACCTGCACGAGTGCATCTTCCTCCGGCGCCCCCCCGGGTTCCACGCCGCCTTCCCAGAGAACACTGTGTGGCAGCTGCGTCGACCTGTCTACAGGTTGAAGCAGGCGCCAAGGGAGTGGCACGCGAAGCTGTCTGCCACCCTGGGGTCCCTCGGCTTCTCTGCCTCGTATTCTGACGCCCGTCTCTTCCTTCGCTCCTCACCTCGCCGCTTCTTCATTCTGGTGTATGTGGATGACATGATCCTGCTCGCTGACTCCAAGGCTGACATGGAGCAGATGAAGCAGCAGCTGCAGCAGCGCCTCAAGTGCAAGGACCTGGGTGACCTCACGCACTACCTGGGCATGGCTATCACTCGCGACCGTCCTGCTCGCACCATCACCCTCTCCCAGTCCCATTACATCGGCCAGGTCTTGTAGAAGATCGAGATGGCGCAGGCCAGTACCATGGCCATCCCCCTCCCTTTTGGCCACCAGCTTGCCCCACCCACTTCTCCCACCTCCTCCCCTTGCCCCTATGCTGAGCTCGTTGGGTCGCTGATGTACGCTATGATGTGCACCCGCCCCGACCTCGCCTATCCCATCAGCGTGCTCGCTCACTTTGTTGGCACTGGTCGCCACACAGAGGTGCACTGGAAAGCTGCTAAGAGGGTCCTCCGCTACCTTCGCGGCACCAAGGACCACGCCCTCACTCTTGGTGGCCCCTCCCCTCCCCTGCTTTCAGGCTTCAGCGACTCCTACTGGGCTGACACGCAGCCGGACCGCCGCCCCTCTCAGGGCTACGGCTTCACCCTCGGCAGCGGCCTTGTCAGCTGGCGCTCCTCGCGCTCCTCCTCCGTTTCCCTCTCCACCTGCGAGGCCGAGTTCTACGCTGGCACCATGGCCGCTCAGGAATCCTAGTAGCTCTGCTTTCTTCTTGCTGAGCTTGGCGCCCCTCAGCCTTGCCCCAACCTCTGGTGTGACAATGCCAGCACCATCCATCTCACTCAGGACCCCGTCTACCACGCCCGCTCCAAGCACATCAAGGTGCGCAATTTCTTCATCCGCGAGCTCGTCCAGCGAGGCCTTCTTGCAGTGCGCAAGATTGCTGCCGAGGCCAACTTGGCCGACATCTTCATCAAGGCCGACATGCTAAGTATAAAAGGGGTTGGGGCTACACCCAACTTTCGGTGTAGCTTGCTTTGTAGGCCTACACCCAACTTTGGGGTGTAGACTTGCAAGTTGGGGTGCCAATCCAACCCACAAGTGTTGGAGCCCCCAAGTGCAAGTTGGGTACCCCCTCTTTGCAACCCACAAGTTGGGTGCCCCCTCCTTGCAACCCATATGGTCCTTGTTGCAAGTTGGGTGCCCCCTCCTTGCAAGTTGCCATAGGGACCACCCAACCACCCAAATTTCCCCTTTCTCTTCCAAGCTCCTCTTGCATCCTATGTATGCTCCCTTGTTCCCAATCAAGCTAATGATTCAGTTCACAATCTTCACACACTGTTCAAGCACATAGCTTTGCCCTACGTTGGGTCACCCTTCGAACGGGCTGCCAACTGCTAGCAACCACTAAGCGACCAGGTACACCATTGTTGTTCCTTGCAGTTCGGGATGGGTCGGAGGAGATTGACCCCGCCTGTCCCTCCATACCCTCCTCGTCATCCTCCTCTCCTTCCCATCCCATCCTAAACCCCAGCCGGACCCGACGACGCCGTCGATAATCCCAGCGATACATCTTTCTTGGACCTGCAGCATGGGACATAGAGCGGGGCAGAGGTAACGATGACTGGGTGTTTAGGTTGGGAAGAGAGCGGGGAAGGGAGGTGATAGAAGAGGATGACGGGATTCATTCCCTCTTTGCCCTCACATTCATTCCCTCTCTGCCCTCACATTAATTCCCTCTCTACCCTCACATTCATTCCCTGTCTGCCCTCACATTCATTCCCTGTCTGCCCTCACACTCATTCCCTCTCTGCCCTCACATTCATTCCCTCTCTGCCCTCACAATCATTCCCTCTCTGCCCTCACATTCATTCCCTCTCTGCCCTCACATTCATTCCCTCTCTGCCCTCACATTCATTCCCTCTCTGCCCTCACATTCATTCCCTCTCTGCCCCCTTTCCCCCCGCTGAACTCACCTCCCCTCCCCCCGCTGAACTCACCACACTTCCGCACTGAACTCTCCTCCCTCCCCCCTCTGACCTGTCCTCCATTCCCCCACTTTCAACTCATCATTGGCCCGTTCACCTCATGCCATCTGCTCTCTTTCCCCTCATCTCAGCACCCCCCTTTCCCCTAAACCCATCTCCTATGCCGTCCCCCTATGCCATCTCATCCATTTCCCCTAAGCACCTATCTTCCCCCTCTGGTCTCTCCTCCTTTTCTCCTCTGACCTCTCCTCCTTTCCACCTTGATAACCTCTCCTCCTTTCTCTTTCTGACCCATCTTCTTATCCCCATCTGACCTCACGGCACTTTCCCCTATGACATCACCTATTTCCCCCATGCACTCACCTCCCTTTCGGTTGGGACGACACCTCCCTTCCCCCTCGGACAGCACCTCCTTTCCCCCTCCCCATCACTCCCATTTCCCCCTGGCCGCCTCTTCCCCTCCCCTGTGCACTCTCCTCCCTTTCGATTGGGACGACACCTCCCTTCCCCCTTAGGACAGCACCTCCTTTCCCCCTCCCCGTCACTCCCCTTCCCCCCTGGCCGCCTCTTCCCCTCCCCCATGCACTCACCTCCCTTTCGTGAGGGATGACACCTCCCTTCCCCCTCGGACAGCACCTCCTTTCCCCCTCCCCATCACACCCCTTCCCCTCTGGCCGCCTCTTCCCCTCCACCATGCACTCACCTTCCTCTCATTCCCCCCTTCCTACCCTCTTCCGGCCCTTCTTCCTCTCATTGTGCCCTTACTACTCGCATTCCGCCCCTAGGCATCTCACTCCGGCCGATCTCTTCTCCCATTCCGCCAATTCCTGACATTATTCCGCCCATCCCTGACCTTATTCCGCCCGTCCCTGACCTTATTCCGCCCATCCCTAACATTCTTCCCCCCGACCTAACATTATTCCGCCCGTCCGTATCATTCACCAGCCCATCCCCAACCTTATTCCGCCCATCCCTAACATTATTGCGGCCATTCCCTAACAATATTCTGCCCATCAGCCCTTTGATTCAGCCCATCATATAGGTTCTTCCTTGCTAACTACTCGCATGCCGCCCCACCTACTCTCCTTCCGTCCGTTCCCTACTCTCATTCCGACCATCCGTAATCTCCTGCCACCCATCCCTACTCTCATTCCGACCAGTGGGTAATCTCCCTCCGCCCATCCCTACTCTCATTCCGCCATTCATAATCTACTTCCGCACATCCCTACTCTCATTCCGCCATTCATAATATACTTCCGCACATCCCTACTCCCATTCCGACCATTCGTAATCTACTTCCGCACATCCCTACTCTCATTCCGCCATTCCTAATCTACTTCCGCACATCCCTACTCTCATTCCGCCATTCGTCATCTACTTCCGCACATCCCTACTCTCATTCCGCCATTCATAATCTCATTTCGCCGTTCCTACTCTCATTCCGCCGTTCATACTCTATTTACACCGTTCCTACTCTCATTCCGCTAAACCCTACTTCATTTCCGCCGTCCCTACTCTCATTCCGCCGTTCCTACTCTAGTTCCAACCGTTCCTACTCTCATTCCGCCGTTCCTACGACGGTTCCGCACTCCCTATTGTCATTCCACCCTTCTTCCTCCCATTCCTCCCTTCTTCCTCCCATTGCTCCCTTTTTCCTCCCATTCCGCCCTTCTTCACATAATTCCGCCCTTCTTGCGGGACCATTCCGCCTCTCTTCCTCTCGTTCCGCCCATCGCCATCTCCCTAAATCCCTTTATATTTTCTTGCCGCACTTCACGCACTCATATCGCCATTACTTATCGCATTCCGCTCTTTCTCCCCTCATTCCGCCCATCCTTACTCTTACCTCGTCTATCCCTAACCTAATTATGCCCGTCCCTAATAGTAGCCGGGTTAGAATGCTTACCTTGTCTCTGTTCCGGTTGAGAAGGTGCTCAGTGACGGGAGTACAGAAACGATCGAGTTCGCACTCATTTTGTGACACTTCAGTGTTGTCTACGTGCGACGTGCCGTCGTCGTCGGGGTGGGTCGTTCAGTTCTCAATCAGGGCCAAACCTGGCCCCCTAGGCTTGACTTCCACCCAACCCTGCCCAGCCTGGTTTGGTTTGGCCTCGAATGTTTTGGAGTTCGCTGGGTTTTTTTCACCAGATCGTCACATATTTCGTCATTCGTTACCAAATCACGGAAGGGCAAACCCAACCAAGTGTTAAACGCTTGGAAATATGAGACGGGAGCTTTAAAGGCGTGCTTAGAGCTTCTAGATCCCAAATAGATGTCAACACCTTTGACATCCAACCCTTTGGTATTTTTTAATCTATATACATTGTTGCTCGCAGGTCATCGAGTAAAGTGTTATTGGTATTG